TACCACCAATAATACATGCATGCATCAGATTTTTACCACCCCCAGACACACAAACACAAGGAATCACATGTGAAACAGTTCAATGGACAGACAAACTAATATATGAAGTTGTTTGATAAAATTGATGTATTCTTAATCTTACCACTATCAAGAAGCCCAACTATGATGTCCTTGCCAAATCTGGCTTTGGATAAGAAGTCTCCTCCCATCTTGCTGTCTATCCAGTGCCTCTGTTCCTCTTCTAGTATGCCTGAAAACTCCCAAGACCTTGTGGTGTGCATAGAGTACTTTTTTGGGTGGCTAGCCCACACAGACACAACTTCTTCCAACTCTGCAGTTACCATTTAATTTCTGTAGCATTACACACACAGAGAGAGAGAGAGAGAGAGAGAGAGAGAGAGAGGATGTGATTGGTTTGGTTAATTACCAGATAGCTTGGAAGCTTCGTCCTGAGTGAGGACTGCTGCAAAGCCATTGATGCTGTGCTTGTAACTGTAAAGCAAAGAAGCTCTGGCATCTTCTCCTGTTTCTTTCACAGAGAGCAAATACGAGTGATGGATGTCCTCAATTTCATGCAGTGCTTTCTCTCCCCTGTGTTCTCCAAAATACACTATATAGACCTATAGATACATACAAACATGTATATAAGTACAAATACATGTGTCATATATACAAGAAAAGATACATGAAATGAAAGAAAAAATAGGTTTATCATAGCCAAAAGGAATGACCTTTTTTGGTTCTGCACATGAGGCTAAGAGAGGAAGAAGGAGGAGAGAGAGGATGAAAATTTTCTCCATTGGTTTTGTGCTGAGGAGTTTAGTGGATACAAATTTTGAACCGATTAACAGTGTTTATATAGAAGTTTAAGATACAAATTGAATCAAATTCTTCTTTATTTCTTATATGTCAAAAGGTCCCTCCTCGATTTTAGAGTAGGAACCTAAATACACGGTAAAATATGATATCTGATATATGAAATTTGGTGTGCAGATGGATACGCAGTGGACTCTTTTAGACAATTAAATTGCTATTTTTTTTTTTCAGTTATATTGATTTTTTTATTTATTTAGTTACAGTTGATTTTTTTTAATTTACTTATTTTGGTTGAGTGATAAAAAAAGTCATCAAAGCTTAATTTGGATTTTACTAGTATATGGACCCACACATAAAGTGTGTAAAAATTTTTACTTTTGTTTTTAAAATTGAAGGAGAGAGGAAGAGAATAAGAACAAGAATATATTTTTGCATTCCATTTTGATTGACAAAAAGAATTTCATTAATATGTATTCAGATTATCCTTAATTTTGTTTAACTTGATATGTTTTTTTGAACGTACTGCTCTCATTATCTTATTTATCCTGCTCCCTTTTTCACCTCTCTTCTCTGTATATACTTCCTTAAATTTTCCTCTTGATTTATTTTAAAATAAAATAACAAATATCTTACCAATCTGATAGTTAATATCCGTAAGTACATTGATAATTAAAAAGCATCACGTGGAAACAAAAAAAATATTATTCAACTACTGAATTCAATATAAGATAATTACACTAACATTTTCTACATTTATCACCTCATGTTTAAGAAATGGAGTAGGATTCTCTCTCTCTAAATCTCATCTCCATCACTCCCCTTCTCTCTCACTTTGAAAAAAGAAGTAACACTAACACTTCCTAAAGTTTTAATTCACTTTCACATCATTCATTTAAGAATGAATTTACCCATGTATTTAACTACTTAAATAATAAACAAAATATGGCAAGTCAGATTAATGGTCCTTGTGGTAATAGGCTATTCGCAAGATTATCCATATGGTAGAATAATTAAGATTTAAACCCTTATAGTGAAAAACATTAACAAATTTAATCGAAGTGAGATTTCCATCAAATCTTCGTTAGATGCAAGGATAAAAATGTCCAGCCACACTCATTTTTGTGTTTACCTTTGTCTTTTACTACTTCATCTCTCTCTCATAAATTGAAACACTCTGTCTTCATGTTCGTGATCTAAATTCCTGAGATTGAATCCTTCCCTTCCTTTCTTATCCATCCTTCACCTTCATCATCCCCAGTTTTCACAACTCATTTCACCTTAGTCCAGAAATTCAAATTCACTATTCAGATTTATTACAGATTCACAATTCAAAATCATATAACTTCAAATTCCATTCTTTTCAAAATGTGCTCGCACCCTTCACCTGCTCCATCAGATTAATTTCAGTACCGAAGTCAATTAGATTTAATCTGCATTCGTAAAAATTAATCACAGCAATCTGAATAAAGTTTTACTTGAAGATAATATTCATATGTTCTAGAGTCATATGTGTCACACTTCCTGCACTTCTGATCGCTGGTGAAGCGCAAATAATTGTGTCTCAAATTTCTTTCCCTTGTTCTTTGTTTTTGCAGTTATTGGGTCACATATTTCTTCATTCTTTTATGTGTTTGCATGGAAAAAAAATCATCCCAAGCAAATATGCCATTAATTTGTTAAAAAACAAAGAAGAATATTTCAATCATTAAATGATTTCTTCTTTACAAACGATAGCGTTAGTGAATTAAATAATTAGTTGTTAGGAGAAAAAATAATTGGTGGGAATCAAACCCGCACTATAGTACATAAACTTGATTGCTTTCGATGGAAAACGCCCTTGCGAATCATTAAATGATGAAAAAGACAAAAGAAAAACACCTGCAATTGAAGATTTATTGTTTTTGCATATGGACATATTAACTGTTCATGATGTCAGTGTTGAGCTTAATATGCCCAACTATAGCAATCATAATCGATAGGAAAAGAATATTGTCTTCGTGGGTCCAAATAATATCAAGCAAAATAAGTATTGTTCATTTCACCAAAGTAAGAAGTGGCAACTCACCAAGTAGAGTGCTTAGGCCCTGGGGGCAGTTCCACATATGGTTAAGGGTGGGGTTGGATACATGGAAGAGAGTGGGGATTGATTGGGATATCATTTGTATTTTGTGCACAAGTCTAAATTAGTACTAACGTATTTGTGGGCTTAAGGGGGATCCCGATTTCAAACGCATGACGTAAGGGCATAACTAATCGTCAATTTTCCTGGTTTTTGGTTCAACCTATAAGTAACTGTTTATATCACAACATTGTCCACCTTCTGTTGGCCCATGCTTACAACTGTATATCCCATTTGCAAATACAAATTTATTCTCCCATGCCTCATGTTTCTTCTTACCACCACACATTGTCTTTGAACTTTTTTTTCCAAAATTTTCAACACATATAGGGCCTTTTGATTTGTGTGTATATATGCTGCAAGTGCAAGACTTCTAATTTCACTCCTCTTGAAATTATTTAAGTATTTAAGGGATTGTGGGCAAGAATGCGTGCATGCATGAGAAAGACGCGGTACGTCCATTTCACGAATGTCAAATGGTGGGCTGCTCTACTATGGGATTGTGGTCCTTAATCTAATCAATCAGAATTTTTCTTAGTTCATTTAAAGTTAATTACCCAATGAGCTGTATCATTAATTATCTTTAATAGTTTCTAATTTACTCTAGCATACAACAAAATGGATTCAAATTGGATAAGAAAGCAGAAACATAGCCCTAATTAAGTGGCTTAACCCATATCTGAATGGTTGATGCTAGATGAAAAAGCCGTAAAGTTGCTAATTGCTAATTAACCATAAATATACAATGAAAAATAACAATAACAATACCATGCAATCTGAATCTCATTCACTTGAGCAGTAGATATAAAGTTAGGCTTGTATACAATCAACTTCATCAGGAACCCTCAGCCATCTCTTTTAAGAGAATGACAACGTCGTCTGATGTAATCTTCCCGTGAGCAGGGACACCTCCTGTATAGGCTTATGAACCCAACTGCATCCCAACTATCGTGGGATCGTCAAAGCCTAAAAAATCTCCACGTTTGTCAGTTGTTAAACCACAACTGAAGCACGCATTTAGTGTCCTACAAATAAGGGATTTTATCCTTTAAATGGTTTTGACTTTAATTAATTAATTCCACGTTAGTCCTTATTATGCTCAGTGACAATTCAATAGAGTCCTAACATATAGAACTTAGGACTTGCAGTGCACTATGTTTGTATGTGACCCCACCACCAACATTGCTCAATTTCTAAGTGAATTGGTATTTTGTGAGTTTACTATAATTAGAGTCCAAAAGACTTCTTCTTTCTTGATTTAATGCATGAAATAAGATTTTTTTAATTTTATTTTATGCAAATTGGATTGGAAATTTCGATCAGACTGGAAAAATTCAGTTTTGAATCCATAACATCTCCAATCAGAATATTTATAGAAATTGAAATGTATTTTAAAAATTCGAAAATTTTCAAAATATAATCCAATTTTATACGAAATTTGCCAAACTAATAGGATCTCAATTTTTTGAGACACTCCCTCTATGGCAACCCGGCGTATTCATTTCATGTAAGTCTCGTTTGAAAAACATACTCGTCACCGGCAATAATTTGAATGAATTGATTACACTCTCTTTGCATGCCAAGCAGTGTTAAGGCCGCACATAATACTATTGGGCAAGCAAATAAAGCCCAATAGCTTAAAGTTTCTTTTGTGCTCATCACCAGCCCACAAACCTTCCCTTCAAATTGGACTTCGGTCCCCCACGTCACCAACATGGGACCCACCCTTCGCTCGGTGAAAACGAAGAAAATTTTAATTGTGACGGAAACACAAGTGGTACACCACGTGTTTTAATATGAATGGTGAGAAATTGTATTTTTTAAGATATTAACTTTTTAGCACACATATCTCAAAATTTGTTTAGTGACAAGTAATGTACCATCCCGTATACCGATCATATTGAAAAATCTCTTTTGAAAGGAGAAAAGATCTTCTTTGAATCTCTTCGTCTTAATTCTTATTACGCACAAATTCAAACTTTTGAAATTTAATTCAACTGCTAAAAACAAAATTCTCATTAAAAATTATAATAATTTTAACGTTGAATCAAATTTTAGGAGACAGATTTGTGGAAATAAACTTCTCAAACATTCTTAACCGTCGATCAATCATCAGCCCCTTATAGAGCTACAAAATGGCCAAGACGACACCGTCGCACCCGACGCTTCTCTTCCTCACCCTTCTCCGCCTGACCACAGCACAGCCCTCCCAATCCTTCTCCTACTCTCTGTACCCAACCCTCTTCTCCCTCGCCCACTCGCTCATGACGCGGGTGGCCAACCTCCGCGAGGCACGCGGCGACGTTTCGGGATCGCAGCGGGCCAGGGCCGTCTCGTCGAAGCTGGAGCGGGGGCTCGGGATGGGTGTGTGGGGGTTCATGTGGTCCGCCGGCTGGGACGATCTCAGGAACTACGCGCGGAGGGACTTTCCCTATTCGGAGGTAGACGGCGCCGTTGCGGACGCCAACGAGTTGCTGAGGTGGCTGGGTGACTTGACACAGAGGCAATCGGATTCCGATCGAGCCGTTTGGGTCGCGCAGAATTACCAAACTATCCTCAAGGTTTCCAATTCGCTGCTCCGTCGGCTCCTCAAAGTGCTCTACCACTCGGTACGCACGTAACGTATCACTTGTCACTTAAGCGGAAACACATCTTACAAAAGACTTTTAACTAGAAGTACTTTTTATTAGGAAGTATTTTAAAACTTTTTCGTTGAACATATAATTCGTTTAGAAGTGTTTTTAAAATAAATAAAAGGGTTTTTAATGAAAATAATTTTAGATACAATTCTTAATAAAATGTAAGTAAATTCTGAAAAAATGTTTGAAGTTTTTTGCAAAATGCATTTCAAATGCTTTTAAAATATGAAAACATTTTTTTTCAAAACTTTTTTTCATCATTGAAAAAGACTTCTAAACAAGCATGGGCTGATAAACATTTTGATTGTTTAACTTTTTCAAAGCAATTTCAAGTAGACCCTTAAATATAGGATATAGTGTTAACGAATATATATATATATATATATATATAAATACACGTGTTATGAAGTATGTGACAGTGTAGTGGTGTGCAGGAAACGTTGAGAGAAATGGTGAAGGCAGTGCAGAGAGAGGTGGTGGAAGGTGAGCTATTGGGGGATTGTCTTGTATTGGGCTCCAATGATTTGAACGGTGTGATTCAAATCCTCAAGGATTTGGGATCGCAATACGGTTCCACTACCCCACCAAGAACTTTGACACTTTTAAGAGCTATATCTTTGTTTGTAGCTTGTAATTAGTATTTTCTTTTAAGTAGGGAGCCTTGTTAGCTTGAAGTTACAATTTTTCGTTATGTTTGTATTTTGAATCTTTGATTGAGAGAATAGGAATGGTTTTAGTAATTTGAAACACTTAGGAAATAATTGTCACATTTTTAATGTCCTTTAGTCCCAATAATTATGGCCCCTCAACTTTAGAGGACAATGGGCTCCTTTATTTATTGCTTATCGAAACTAATGTTAATTTGCCATAAATTTTAGGGTTTGTTAGAGATTGTTTTTGTGTGTTGGAACTCTTTTGTGGGAGAATTTTTTTAGTATAACTAGAACACGGGTCAATACACTATGTCATACTACAAGTAGAGGAACATTTGAAAATAATTTTTTTTCTTCACTTATATTATGGCATGTGGTATATCAACGTGTTTTGGGGCACATAAAGCACAGGCCAGTACACTATAGTCATTATACAATCTTTTGCTTCATAAGGCTCATTTGGTATGTCGAATTGGATTGGAGGTAGAAGTGAATAATTTTTCATTTGGAGGGGATCAGAAGATGACAAGACTTGAAGAAAACTCATGTTTTCTAATTTTGTCATTTTCAGATGATTGGAATGAGTAGGTTTTCTTCACGAGTAATTCATCTTCTTTGTTTCAATTGGACATAATTTTTTCTTCTTACCTTAACATACCTTTAAATTAGGGACTTAAATCTTTCAATTTAATTCTACCTACGAAATGAGCCCATAGTTTCTTTCACTAAGACGACTAATTTTTAAAACTGGTAACACATCCCATTTTTTGAATTAGAAGTCCAAGGGCTTCATGGAAAAGCATTTACAGTTGTTTCTGCCGAACATTGAAAGAGCGTGGACATTCCCAAGCGAGTTCTTTGAGACATATTTGAGAGTGCTTATAAAAAATAAAAAATAAAAAAATAAAAACTCTTCTACTAAAAGCGTTTTTACTAGAAACACACTAAAATCGTATTAGTTACTAATATTTTCATGCAAATTCACTTTTAGATACATGAAATGGGAAATGGATCCTCTCCGATCCATTCCACCAAATCCACTAAGTTCACCCATCCAAACCATTGAAATTTAATATAACGGCTAAAGTTATTATAACTTTTAAATGACCATCTGTTGTAGCCGTTGAATCAAATTTCAATAGTCCAGATGGGTGAAATTGGTCCGGATCCCTTGCCCATGAAATGAACAATGCTCGTCGATCATGGCCTAGCAGGCATATACCCAAACATTAATGGTGTCGTGGACCCAGTTTCTCCAAATCCATCTTCTCTTTTGCTAATAAAGATGGAACAAAGCTTAGAATTTGTTTAAATCAGATCTAGCTGGCCATGGCCTATACAGGCATGTGGTGGGTGATGAAATAATTGAAACCAAATATTTGATAGGTGATAAGATTGAGAGAGTTTTCAGTGTGTTCGGAACCCGAGGAGTAATATTACATGTCATTAAACAATTAGAGAGACATTTAGAAAAAAAAAATTTCTCCAGTTCTGCAATGACATATGATATTCTGTCTCATATTTCAAGTACACCGAAAAATCTCTCGATATGATATGGCCAAGTAGTATTACTAGGCTACTAGTATCTCTACCTCAGCTACTTATTTAAATTGTGTCACTCTCCTTGCGATCGAAAACACTTATCTGTGATCACTTTCTTATTAATGCGATCATTCCTTCACCTATCCCCTTTCCCATAAATTCCATTTGATTATATTAAATGAGGGCACGGGTCTTGGTGCTGCTGGTGAAACTCATGCTCTTCAAATCTCTACTGGATATTACAACATTTAATTGTTCGTGCAGAGCATGCATGTAATGGAACCATTTGTTCAAGTTATAGACCATTTATTCCCTCAGACACAAATTCACAATCAAATGTTTTAAGCTCTTGCATTTCCCCCCTCAAACAAAAATTGTATAAGAGAAGTAGATCGTGGTTAGGCTAGTTAGTCGAAGCAAATGTGTACGTCAGTCCTTTTACACTCAAGTTCAAATCTCTTTTTGTAGATTACAGTAATTTAGAATATCAACTTGTAAAAAGAAATGTAAAAAGTAAGGTTTGGACTGGTGACTTGCCTCTAGAGATAACAATTTGACTCACTACACTTATCACCCATTGATCAGTCATTGGGGCAGATATAAATATGAGAATTTAAGTATTCAGATACGAAAACCGCATAAAGTATCAATATACTGTCAATTTGTCACGATAATAGTGCTATCTAGGAGCATTTCCGTATAAACACCAGCAGTGATTAGCTTTTACAATGACAAAAGCTATACAAGCTCTTTAAACTTTCACACAGAGCAAACCAGCCAACAACCTCTCCTATAAAGTGAACAAGATAAACATTATAAATTTATATTTTTGCCCTATATTGTAGTGTTTGACTTCTCGGTTCAGGGACAACCGTGGATGAAGGAGATAGATGAGATGAGAAAAATCGATTTCCATGGAGGTGCCACTTTCCTTTCACTTCTGAGCCAACTTAAAACAGGTGGACTCTAGCCTGTCAAATTGACTAGCAAAACGTGTCAAGTTGGTTCACAATATTTTGCATCTTAATACATTTTTCACTCGGTTTTTAAAGTATAAACACGTATTAAGTACAAACACTTACAAATTACTCATAAGATGATGCATTGGATCAATCAGATGATGATACATCTGACTAATCAAATAGTGTAGTATATGAGACCCTTGAAATGGTGCTACGCCATTTTATGGACCGAATCTACCCATAAATGGAACAAATGTATCACCCAATGGACCGTAATGATAGTATTTTCAAGTGTTCGTGCTGCAGTAAAACTCCGTTTTACTAATGTTTAGCTCCTCTAACACACTTTCTTTGGGGTTTATTTTTCTTCTTTTGTAGTTAGGTGCTTACTGTTTTGGCCAATGAAAGTTTGGTTCATACTTCTCAATTCTCATCAGATTTTGGGTAGCTGGGTTGCTTTTTTTTGTAGCTGGCTTTCACTATAATGTGCATTTTTTGTCTTCCCCTTCCACATGAAATGGAGACCACCGACGGGTAAGTCACTGAAAAGTTCAGAAAGAGACATCTTTCTTACCATATTGTGTATTCATTTTTCTTATCATTCATGCTAGCTGGGGAGATGGTTGTAAAGGCGGTTATCCTTACAGGGCATGCATGCAATGCAATTTCAATTTGGCCCAAATCATTAAAGATTTGCCAACCTCCCACATTAAATTGCATGTGGGTTGGTTTGGTCTACATTTTTGTAGAACATGCACAAGACCAATGCCATTGCTAGGTCGAACTACTATTTGACATTGTAAGTGGCGCATACATTTAAGATTTAACAAAATAAATTTATTAATTAACGTGATATCTATATATTACTTGTTAATTAATGAACATGGTAACAAAATTTGATCTCCATATTATTTTCTTTGCTAGACAGATTCTTCGCACACCAATAATTATGTTATGTCTTGATTCTTGAATCTCAGCCCTTGATTTTATCTGTTCCCCATGACCCTTTTTCTAGATCAGGATATAGCTCTTTTTGGTTATTTATTTATTTGCTTGATCAGTTCTGTAATGCACTAAATGGTGAGGAGCCAAAGTCAAGGCAAAACAGACGCAGAGATTGCATTAGAGGACCACAGAACCCTAGAAAAAAGTTGACTTGGAATAGTTGTGCACATCACCAAACACAAGAGCATGGATACCAGTCCAAAACTAGTGTAGCACAGACATAGTAGTATTACATATATTAACATCAATAATTAGGATAAAACATTATCCATTTAGTTAATTATGATTGATGAATAATACATGCTGTCAATTCCAGTTTACTGTCCAAATCTCCAATTTCTGTTCACGGTGCTTCATAATCTCTTTTCTTATGCCATGTTTACTTGGAACGGAGAAAGACATTAATGGGGCAAGACTAATCAGGAATATAGTAGAGGAGGAATAAGTATGTGATCAACTATTCCTTTCGAATCAATCTAATTTAAGACAGAGCAAAATATAAGGCGTAAATTGGACATGACCCCCACTCTCCAAAACCTCCTTTGAAGTCTGCATAAGCTCACAAAGTTATGTGCAATTCTTCATAAATATTTAAGCTATTTGATCCTCCACAATCTATACCAAGTCCAGCTCCGCCAATGAATACCCAAACTAGAACAATTTCGATACTCATGCCAAGTAACTAACTAAACATGCCACCATAAATCAATAGAGAGCTACACAAATTTAGTGCGAGATTACCAATATGCCATGCTGATGGTTGAATTAATACAATGATTAATGTTACTGTGTCATTGGTCGAGTTATTAATTCCAAGTACCGACGTCAAAGGCCAAGATGCACATTGGATACACAAGACTTTGATCAAATGCAAAACTTAATTATTGAAGAGGTATTGGAGAGAGAGAGAGAGAGGGTGTTGAGCTGGCTTTGCCATACAGTCGACTCTCACATTATATCCGCGTGTAATTAATGCCTCGAACCAACTCTCTCAACTGTAAAAGATATGTATTGACTGCCATTGCTTCCCTGCTATTATATATTCTCATCATGCCTTGCTTTTACTCCTCACACATTCACCTTCCTTCTTTAGGGTTTCTCTCTCACCTTTCTAGCCATTTGGTCCATCTCATTCTTCTTCCCCCCAGCTTTTATTTTTAATTTACTGCTAAATTGGGGGTCGATACTACTATGGCGGGAACGGCGAGAAGAATGTGGGTGGCGACTGTGGTGGTTATGGCTGTGAGCATGTGGTGGAGTGGCGCTAGGGCTGAACCGCAAGTGCCCTGCTACTTCATTTTTGGGGACTCTTTGGTTGATAATGGCAATAACAACCAGCTGCAGTCCTTGGCCAGAGCTAACTACTTGCCTTACGGGATTGACTTTGGTGGACCGACCGGAAGATTTTCCAACGGAAAAACCACTGTTGATGTTGTTGGTGAGCTTCTCTCTCTCTTCCTCTCTCGTTCTCATTTCCACTAACATTTGCCATGCATGCTTGCACTTTTCTTTGTTCTATAAAATCATCATGAGAGATTATTTCTGGCAACTAATATTTGGGTGTTATTGTCCAATATTTCTTTTTAAAGTGTTACAAAACTACACCATTCGTCCAATAAATGATCATCACATGGTAAATTATTACATAAGAGAATCTCTCGTGCCAAATTGCACGAGTAAAGGCTATTAATGTGATGCCATGTCGTAGCTAGTCTAGTAGGTCCGTCCAAATAAGTAAAATAATGTGATATCATAATGTTGGTCCAGCCAAGGTTTTAGCGCAGTTATGAAATTGCACCCTATCTTTCTTGTACAAATTTATCTTTACATACCTTTTCTCTAAACAAAATTTTTAAACTGAAATTGTGAAATTTCAAATCCTGTTTTGTGTGTATTTGACATGCATAATGTTCTGCTAAATAGCTGATTATGATCACTTAATTTTTACTTCAATCTCATGTCAATTATTTGTGAAAACCTGCATTTGGTAAAAAAAATTTGGACCAAGAATTCTCTGTATATGTCTTCGATTTTGTGTACATGCAGCCTTCTATCCATACTTTAAAAATAGCAACAAAAAATGGTAGCTCTCAACCAGTCTGTTTTCATCATTTATGACCAAGAAGTGAGAATTTATTTCTCAGAGCCTCTCACATGTTGCTTTCTAAAAATTCAAAAATCCCATAGATATTGAGTAATGCTATTCATACTATGTTTTTATATCACATTTCTATACCACTTTAGGTGTCATCTGATTGGACAGCCATATCATTTGAAAAATTTGCAAAATCCAAGGAAATGAAGGAGAAATACTCCTTGTATACCATAATTATCATTTAATTAACTAGTTTTTCTTAATTATTAGTTTATTAAATAATGAACTAAATTTAAAAATCTAATTAATTCAAATAATGTGGCTATCTACATCATATGCCACCTAAGGTGATATGAAAATATGGTACAAAAACATGGCATGATGTACAAAGTAAAAACTGCATGTGTACAAAGTAAAATAACTGCATGTGTACAAAGTAAAAACCATGTTACATGGGAGACACAAACCACTTACCAAAACAGTGAAATTCACCTTAACTGAGTTACTGATGACTTCAAATTATCTGCATGCAGCCGAGCTTCTGGGTTTTGATGATTTCATCCCTCCCTATGCAACTGCTAGAGGCCAAGACGTACTCAAAGGAGTAAACTTTGCATCTGCAGCTGCTGGAATTAGAGAGGAAACTGGACGCCAATTGGTAATTACAATTTTCCATGACACATATTTTCACTAGAACATTAATTATGCTTAATATGTCTTAATTGTATCTAATCAAGTCTTAATTAAATGTTGCAGGGAGGTCGTATTACATTTAGTGGTCAGGTAAAGAATTACCAAAACACTGTGTCCCAAGTGGTGAACTTACTAGGTGGTGAGGACCAAGCTGCAAATTACCTAAGCAAATGCATATACTCAGTTGGATTAGGCAGCAACGATTACCTTAACAACTATTTCATGCCCCAATTTTACAACACCGCCAACCAATTTACCCCGGAGCAATATGCCGATTCGCTTATTCATGATTACAGTCAACAGCTGAGGGTTAGTTTTTCTCCCCTTCCATTCATTTTTTTTGTGCATTAATTAGGTTCATCAAGACCATTTTTAATGGTTATGAACTTATAATGTTAATACAAAAGTAGCATTAATTTGTCAAATAATCTAACATATTATATTGTCCGACGATTTGGTAAGAGAACATTTCGTATTAAGATTGTAACACTCTCTTGAATAGATCTAAAGAGATTATCTAGTAACTATGATAACAGTAAGCCCAAATATAGCACAAAATGAGAATGGGCCTTAAGCTATTGTCATGTGTTACTTATTATATAATAGGTATGTATAGTTTTTGCTAATTTTCTTATGAACGCGAGCGTAACTATATTATGAAATTTAATTAGGTGGTTTCCTTTAAAAACATTATATTATATTTGTTTAATGTTGACTGATGTGTGCTGTATAGATTTTGTACAATTATGGAGCAAGGAAGGTTGTGCTGTTTGGAATTGGTCAAGTAGGATGCAGTCCAAGTGAATTGGCACAAAATAGCCCAGATGGTTCCACATGCGTACAAAAAATAAACTCTGCAAACCAAATTTTCAATAGCAAGCTCAAGGCACTGGCCAATGAATTCAACACTAATCTAGCAGATGCAAGATTTATCTTCGTAGACACTTATGGCATTTTCCAGGACATAATAAGCAGCCCTGCACAATATGGTAATTACAAAGGGAAATTTTCAAAAACCCTCTATTATTCATCTTGAAAGCTTTTTTCTCCGTTGTGACATGTAAACCCTTTCGTTTTTCTTCTTTTCGTTGATTTGGTAAAAATTAATGAATAAGCGATCACGCAATCACAAATGATTGATGAAGTAGGCAAAATTTACAACTCTTGCTCTTGGTCACGTGATTGTTTTTCCGTTAATTTTAACATAATCGACTAATAAAGGAGGAAACTCAAGGTAAACATGTCCCTAAATAATACTTAACACTCACTTGGAATTTTTTTTTTCTATTACTTTTAGGAAAATAAATTTGTGACATGGTTGGAACAAACATTTTGTGTTTTTGGTGTGTTTTATTTCAGGATTTAGAGTTACAAACGCAGGGTGCTGTGGGGTAGGGAGGAACAATGGCCAAATTACATGTCTTCCCTTCCAAACTCCGTGCCAAAATAGGAACGAGTATCTATTTTGGGATGCATTTCATCCAACTGAGGCTGGCAATGCTGTTATAGCAAGGAGAGGATACAGCGCTGTTCGGGCCTCGGACGCTTACCCTATCGATATACGGCGGCTTGCCCTTCTTTGATCGTCGTCATCATCGTCGTGATCAATGATTATGGCTGCAGTGGCATATAATCATGCTTGCACACCATATCATAAAAAACAACCAGCAGCTATATATAATCTGTATTGCATTCTCCTATGTCATGGGTTTCTTTGTTGCAATTGTTGCAGTTAATCATGTTTCGTTTAGATGTTCATCAAACTTTGATCTTCTTCTTGTGTACTGCTTAAAGGTTTAAATTAATACGAAAATGAGTTCGTTTGGTTTTTAGACTTAGAGGCTCTATGAGTTGTCAATTTTAGTATTTTACAGACAGGTTGAATTTCTAATTTAAAAAAAAAAAGACAGGTTGAATAGGTGAATAAGTGCATAGTATTATAATCTCACCCACCTAAAAATTAAAATGTTATTTTTCCACTTATTATTATGTTGAATTTTCAGGTCGAGGGACCAGGGGTCCCATTCTAATGATACTATCTCCAACTTAATAATAACTATCTGCCCAATTCGTCAGGGTTTTATCACAAAATGACTCAGTATTAGTTAATTGGGTAATCACATTTAAACTATTTCTTTCTTCTTTCCCCCACTGATGTGGGATAGCCAACACGCCCCTGCACGTGGAACATTATTTTAGTGGTTCACATGCTGAGATCCACATATCGGCAATTGAAATTCAGAGATCGGCTCTAATGGCTTCCAAACTTATTTCCAATCCTAAAATGACCTCTAACACAAATCTAAATTTACCTTGCCATCTTCGAATTTCTCTACCAATCTTGAACTCAACTGCAAAACTTTGGCTCTGCTAATCTATTCTTCGAATTTCCTCATCCCGTGATTTATTTTTTCTTATGATATGAAAATAAATTTTTACCTTGGAATTATCATCATATACATAATTGAGCTAATACACTTAACCGATAAAAAGGAAAATCTGCTACAAGAGTTTAAGTCCTTAAAGCCAACTCAGTGGAGGGGTCGAAAAAGTGGGGCTTCAAATAGTTGATGAATTTTCACTCAGGCTTATATGCGAGAACAAATTTTCGGAATCAAAACTTTTAACAGTTTCCCACCTATCCTTTTTCGCAACTATGTTTTCCGGCTAAATCCAATACATGATGGAGGTTGAGACGGTGATTTTCGTGTACCTCTTCCTCTTGCATCTCGCTGGAGATCTGAAACGTCGACGACAGAGGAAAGGAGAGGAGAAAAGGTTAGTTGGTCTCTTCCTTTAACTTTCACATACAAAGAGTTTGTACAACAGTGGAGCAAGAAAGGTTGCCTTGATTGGACTTGGCTAATTGGATGCACCCCAAATGCAATTTCAACATTTGGTACAAATGGGACCGCGTGTGTTGATAAATTGAACAGTGGTCCCTAATTTTTTAACCAAAATCTTGTATCTCTGGTCGATCAGCTCAACACAAATCTGACCGATGCAAAATTTACTACGTCAACAGCTTTGGAATGGGCTCAGGAGACCCTGCAGCAACTGGTACATGTTCATAATTTTGGGGACTAACTAACATCTTCTTGATATGATTGTATTTTGGGTGCATCTAATAACGTGGTCCGACGTGACTTAAAAAGCGCATTAAAGAATACGAAGTCTTAAATAAAAAATCAGAAAAAATAAAATACAATTAGGCACCACTGTTTGCACAATGTTTTTTTTTTATTAAAAAAAATCTTCAATTGTTGTATTCTAACAAGAGTTAATTACCAGCCCTACGGGATTGATTTTCCCGCAGGAGCAACTGGAAGATTTTGCAATGGTCGCACCACAGTGGACATACTAGGTCTTACATATTTCCTCTCTCTTACTTTCTCTGTCTCTCCCTCCTCCTCTCTCTCTCTATATATAGTTTGTGTTCTCGCTCCAGTTGTTATTTGTTCCATTATATGATAATTCTTATGAATCCTTATAGGGGTGTGATATCCACACATCTCATTCTACTTCTCACACACTCTTCTAATTTTCGATCGTTGGATCGGATGAATTGAAGAAGATCAACGGACATAAATTAACAAGGAATGTGTGAGAAGTAATTTGGAGTGTGTGGATAGCACACCCCATCCTTATATTTCCTAGCTCGTCCTCGGTTTAACACTTTGCGGGCACAAAGGTGCTGTTTGCAAATGATGACACATATTTGAAATTTACACACTATTAATTCTATCTGTCATTTTTTTTTTATTCTTTATACTTGGTTTAGAACTTTAGAGGATATGGTTTAGAGGATAAGCCTTCAGTTAACCCTTAATTATCTCCATCACCACTTATCATGCTCACTAATATTCATCATTCCTTGTTTATTTCTTTGAATTCTATTTCCTGGTTTCGTAACTTTCTTAAACTTTAATTTTCTCTTTAATTGTAATTTTGACTTTCTAGTTTACCTTAGGGGTGCAACTCGGACGGGTTGAGCGGGTTGAAAGGTCAACCCAATCTTAACCCAACTTTTACAATTCGGGCTCGGGATTGGATTAGGTTTCATTTGGGTTCATTTGGGCTTGAGTTTAATTGGGATAAGGTTTACTTGACTTGGGTTTGGGTTGCCTAACTTTATCAAGTTTAATCTTGTAAGAACTTAGTTTTCAAGAATTCCTAAAAAAATTAAGGAAAACTAACGAAAAGTCCAAAAAAAACTTTTTTTTTTAACGAAAAGCCTTTTTAAAGGTATAGTGAATAGTACTAGTTAAAGGTAAAAATGTGGTTTTTCGTTAAAAGTGAACAATACCGGAAGTGTTTTGTTAAAACTCCCAATATTAAGCCAAGGAACATCAAAGCTAGCTTACTCTAATTTCATAAATCAATCTACTATAAAGCTTTAGGATTTAGAGACTACGAATATGGGCTGACTAATCAAAGCCTCTTATTTCCTAAAAGCTTAAGTAATTATAATGGGTAATTTATTAAAAAAATATTAGAAAGGGCATTGGTTTTTGGACTTGGCACACTTGGCTGTAGTATGAGCATTAATTGATATGGGTTACAATCTGGTTAGATTGAGTTTGGTTAGTTTGGTTAGGTTGAGTTGGGGATGGACAGGCAAATGATCAACCTGACTCAACTCAATCAATGAACGGGTTGAAATTGGGTTGGGTTTGGACTTGTTATAACTAAAAAAACCCGCTTGTTCGAGTTTAAAGTCGGATTGAACATGGACGGGTTCGGATTGGCCCAACCCAAGTTGCATCCCCAGTTTACCTTTCCTAATTTTCATTGTCTTGTGTAAATCCGGACTTTCCCCTAAGAATAATAAAAAATAATTTTATCCAATACAATTTATTTTATTATGTATACGTTTTTTGTAACTATATATAAGTTTGGTTGCAAGACACGCAGAAAATGAGGCTAATATAAGCTACTTTATATTGCAATAATGCAGCTGAGCTTTTGGGTTTTGAGAACTCCATTCCACCATTTGCAACTACCAATGGCCAATACATTTTGAAAGGTCTCTGAATTATGCATCTGGAGGAGCAGGAATTCGACTGGAAACCGGCTGCCAATTGGTAACTAATTGAGTCACTATAAACGTCTCAACTTCTATGTAATATTAACATGTATTTAAGTAAAATATAACATGATAAATGTTATTCATACCATGTTTTTGTACCACATTTTCATACCACCTTAGGTGGCATTTGATATGAACAGTCACATCATTTGAATTAATCATATTTTTAAATTTAGTTCATTATTTAATAAACTAATAATTAAGAAAAACTAGTTAATTAAATGATGATTGTGGTATACGAGGAGTCTTTCTCTTTCATTTCCTTGGGTTTTGCAATTTTTTCAAATGATGTTGTTGTCCACATCAGATGTCATCTAAAGTGATATAGAAATGTGGTGTAAAAACATGATATGAATAACATTACTTATATAACATATCATTTCTCTTTGCTTGCAGGGTGCTCATATAGCTTAGATCATCAGTTACTACATCACGGAGAAACAGTCTTGCGCATTGCTGCTATACTGAAAGCTAATGAATCAGCTTTTCAGTATTTAAACAAATGCTTATGTTCAGTTGGATTAACAATTACTTCAAGCCTCAGTTTTACCCCACCAGTAGAATATTTACCCCTGAACAATATGCTCAAGTTCTTATTGAACAATATTCTCGCCAAATATTGGTAACAATTTTTTATCGTAATTTCAATCTTTTTAATTTTTGACTTCAAAATATAATAGTTTTGTTTAAAATTTGATTGTTTAATTTGCTCCATATTATTTTTGTATGTACTTCGTACGCGAATGCAGCAAGGAAAGTGACCTTGATTGGAGTTGGAGCTATATGTTGCAAATGCAGTTGCATCGTTTGGCACGAATGATACCGCATGTGTTGATAGCATTAACCGTGCGGTCCAACCTTTTAACCAAAAGCTTGTATCTCTGGTCGATCAGCTCAACACTAAACTCACCGATGCAAAATTTGTCTATGTCAACAGTTTTGGGATGGGTACTTCAGGGATTCCTAATAAAGCTGCTGGTAAATATATGCGATGCGACTACAATCTATGGGGAAATGATATCTCAAAACATCTTTTCTCCTTCTGCTATTCAGTTATTTATGTCTCTTTATTTGGTTTTGAGTTATTATGTTGAAATGTCGAAAATTAACAGGATGTGTCGACGGCAAAAATAAAAAACATGCAAAAATCACTTCCCATAATCTTTTGGTTTTGAAAGATAAAGCTGACATTGAGTAATTAGTCATTTCTTTTATTCATGTCAGGATTCAAGGTTGTGAATGCTCCCTGCTGCCCAGTGAATAAGTTCGGTCAATGTAATCCTGCCCAAGCTTCATGCCAGAATAGGAAGGAGTATGTATTTTGGGACCCGTTTCATCCAACTGAGGCCTTAAATCAAATCACTGCTAGAAGAACATACACTGAATTGGACGACTCGGACACTTATCCAATGGATATCAGTCACCTTGTCAAAGCTTAGTCTATATGAGCGTGGAGGGGGTCGAATCCAAGCAAATATTTTACATGGAATTTAATCTTCCCCACTTATTCTGATAAGTTAATTGAAAACCCGAAACAGATATTTAGGATCAAATGTGGCTGTTTTGATGTTTGAAATTCTCTTTAATGGCGTAAATGTTTCCATTCATTTTTTAATAAACTTCTAACTTCTAGAAGACAAAAGGTGGCGCTTTTTATTCCTCTTGTGTTAAAAGAATGTAATTTTTCATTTTCTGTGCTTATATAAAAATTGAAATAGGGCAGAAATAATTGCATTGACGGCTAC